CATGGCGCTGCTTCAACGGCAGGGAACGCCGCCTAAAAAATATTGTTTGGATGGTGGGTAGAAGTACCTCATACTATTACACAGAGACCAATGAGGAAAGAAGGCCTCTGTAAACATTGCAAGAAATAGCGCCATGTATTTAGCCGACTTCAAATTTCATATCTGATGAAAACGAACAAACTGGTCTTCTAGAAAGTTCTCAGGACATCTGTCAACCGTGAGCCTTGGCGGTTCAGCGTTTTGTAGTGATGTCTGGGAGCTCTCACAAGTGCACACTATCACAGCATCTCCTCTTTCTTTATCTTCTTCAAAAGGCTTAGGACAAAGTGTGTGCTTTTCCAGCTACGCTCTCACCCGGTTGACAGAAGCCTTGTAACCGTCTTTAGTAGTATCTTAATTACTACACATAATGCGCTTCACCTAATTGTCAGCCACTAAATCCGGTGATACCTGGAAAAGCACCTAGAGAAACCGGGTAAGGTTTAATGAGTCGGCATGAGCAAAGATAACACATATAGGCGCAGCTACTTCACTATACAGTGCGGTGCAAAGTCATAGGACACCGCTCAAAATTCTCTTTCCTGTTGAATTTTTCGATGTAACCAGCAACGATAGGAACACTTAACCGGTGTATGGTAACTCTACTAGAATTGCGGTTCGAGTTGCTCCCTTCCATATCACTGATTTTGCCAAAGGATTTCAATTTTATCCTCTTTCTTTCGTAGAGCTGACACAGGTTGAGCGTACATGGTGATTTTTTCGATGTAATCTTCGAGGTTATAGCTAATCCTTTTAGGAACTTCTGCTATTTATCCTGGTGCTCTCTTATTTCTATTCGTAGTGAGAATTTGGAGCACCAAGCTATGGTTTTCTTTGAGCTCCTAAAAATGGCTTCGATGCTCATGGTAGAGCCATCAGGCGCGTATAAAAAGAAAGTCTGGCTTTCACTCGCGGAGGGAAAGGGAGCAACTCAAACCGTAACTCTATAGAGTTACATTCACAGGATATCGCTGGTTGGATCAAAAAAATTTAACAGGAAGGAGGATTTTGAGGGGTGTCCTATGATTTTGCAACGGCTCAAAATTAAAAAAATTGTCTAAAAATACGGAAAACTAATCGGATAACCTGGTACTTGTTGTATAGGTTTTTTATAAAGGCGGTTCTGATTCTACAAGTTGCGATAAACGAAATTTTCTAGAAGCCGAGATATTCATATTTTTGAGGGGTGTCCTATGATTTTGCACCGCACTAGGAGATGCTTGCACCAAAGTAAGTAGTCTGCAGATCTTTCTATAGGGCCTCAGCACTATAGGTGAAACAAGCACGGAAGTGGATGGAGCTTGTCTTACAGATCCTGATAAATCGGTCCCGGGGAAGGGATGTCAAATGATGATGTTGGATAGGAGTGAACTCGAAAATTTTGCTTTCGCGTCTCATACCACCCCCTAGGAACCCTTTACACACACGAAAGCGTGCGGAGCCGACATTACAATAAAAATTGGGTATTGCTATGCAGTGCACTTTATAAAGAGCAAGGTTTTCTATTGCATGTGAGTTTAAGGATGGCTTCGAGAAATGAAGATTTCCTATAGCATTAGATGTAGTATCAGATACCAGTAGATGAGGTAGCCTAATTGCTTTATATGGCAAAACTTCTTCAACTAAACTCTCCTATCGTTTTCGTTATCTTTCTTCTTTTATATAAATATTTTGTTCCCACATGATCTTTTTTTTCTTCACCATAATGTTGAACATCTCTTTTATCTCGTCAACCCTTCCTCACTGATGAGCCTAAGGGTTGACACGAAATATGGTGGTTGGTATTATATCCAGCTGAGGCTTCCATTAAATACTGCATAAAAACATTCTTCGAAGAACACTACGGTGTTTTACTCATGTCGATTTGCATAGAAGTTGTTGAGAGACATGTCATCCGCTGGAAGAGACAACTTAATAATCACGGACAAAAGCTCACATTACACGTGTAATTGACAGATGAACTCCATGCCTGAAGTCCTTAACCTGGGACCACTCGTCACCTAACAAGCCGGTACGGATAGAAAGATGGGTTGAAGGAAACAAGGGCCTGTAGGTTCATGAAGATGAAGATGTTACGATGAAAAACAGATTAAACTGCATTCGGAATTAGACATTGACAATTCGAAGTCAGCAAAACGCCAGTACGTTAGCTGGTACGGTCCTGTTCAATTGAAACTCACTGGTCAAAAGTTACCACCAACGATCTTTGTCAATTCACGTTCTCAATATACTAGAGGCGATGACTAGATAGTCCTGATCCACTCACCTAACGTCATTCTGGTGACCTGTCCGCAGCCGATGTGCAGCAATACTGCTGGAGAACCTCTGTGAAAAAGTGTCCCGGCAAAAAAAGACCTAAGAAAACGCTAGGAAAGAGAAATACATTGTAGTTCAAGAATGTTTCACCCTGAAGGCGACACTTATTATATTATAACTGGTGCAACCTGCCCATTATCCACAGCCCGAAACGCTTCATTATGGAGGGTGGGTTATTCCGCGTAAATTTTTTGTTGTTGCAGAAACAAGTATACCATCCCCACTGGCGTCTCATGTGAAAATTTTGAGCATCTCCCAGTGAGGCCTTCGTTTTCAGAGAAAACGGAGGGTTCAATTAGAAAAGTATTGACGTAGTATTATATGAATATAGTAAAACACCCGGATTACCTCTCAACGGGTAAGTATCATTTCCAAGAGGGAAAAAATGCAGAGAAGAGTAGAATGGAACTATTCGAAGAACAATAAAATAACCTACATAAAATTGTTGGGTAACTCACCTTTCCCATACTGTCTTCAGGTGTGAATCCAAAAATGGCTCTTGCTGATTTCCTGTCACTACTTTCCAGATTTTGCAAATGTTCTCGTAAAAAGGTGGACTGTAAATGAAAGAAATTTTGGACTGATTCACGGAAATCTTGATGTAATGCTAAAAAGAAGGCAAATGTATCAGCGAAAAACAATGATAAAAAGAAATGCAGCTAACCACATATAATCGAAATCGTTGAACATAAACGTCTTTTCTGGATCAAAACCAACAGCAATTATATCCTTCATATTCTCTCTTGCCATCTTCTTGGACTCATCAACCTTCATGTCCTTCCACAGGAATTTTTCATCATCCGTAATCTAAACAGATCTTCTTGAAAATAAAATCGCTCAAAAATACTTCCACCCATTTACGCTTTCTTTTCCAGCCGTAAGAGGAAGAGGGAATTTCAATCGAAGTTGTTATAATAATGAGACAAGTGGATCCGCAGGTCGTGATCAAGTCTATATCAGAATGATGCGTTAATCGATGTATGTTGAGGTTGCGAGTCGTCGCCGTACACATGCTGTTCCATTTTTTTGTATGAATGGTCTCAACCAAACTCTTCCACTCCACTTCCTTTTTCATTCCTTGCAAACTGCATCTGTATTTCCTGATAACCCACTTAAATATACTGTCAGAAACGATCTCGATCTTAACGGAGAAGTCAACCAACGAGCAGTAGAGCCAAACACGAGAGTTTGAAGAGAAAAGTCTTCAAATTGCGAAGAACAGTTGTGTCTGAGAATAAGTTTCAAGGATGAGTGAAGCTATCAAAGAGAAAGTTCAAAAGGCATACAGTCCTTTGGTAACAGCATTGCATACTTTTATCAACTTTTGTCATACTTTTATCATACTCATGGTGAGCCGCTACTCCAGAGTAGGAACCGCCCACTATGAGTATGTTCTTTCAATCGACATTTTGCCGCTTAACGTCATTCAAAACGCTTCGAATTCGAACCGCCGTTTCCTGCTGGTTCCTTGGTTATTACGGAATTACGTGACAGACATACAAGCACTTGAACACACTGCGCTTGATATATTGCTAAAGGTAATTCGCCAAAAATTAACCAATGTAATTACAAAACTGCTGCAAAGTGTACAAACCTGGATGATGAGAGGAACATCAAACACATCCTGCAGCCACTTTGAAAACATGAATGGAATGAGATGCCCAAGGTGCAGACTTCCAGATGAAGGACCACGACCGGTGTACAGGAAAAACGGCTTTCCTTGTTCCTTACGATCCAGAATAGCAGCAAAATCTCTGCACAAACGTTTTATTCTTTGATTAGGAATGCTGAGTTTCATAAGCACCATTAGCTCTGTACTATGTATGACCATTAAGTGAACTGCACTTCTCACCTATGCGCAAAGAACATCCCACGACGTAGCATTGGATGAGGTTCATGTCCAGTGACCTTCTTAAACCGCTCCACAAGATCCTCACCAAGCTTGCGGCAGCCGAATTTAACTAAAGCACTCAACGTATGAAAAGAAACGAACACTCCTGTTTATCCAACTGAAAAAATCTCAAAAAACAAAATTCGCATTCACGTCCATTTCAAAGAAGAAGGAAAACTCAGTTGGGACGCACCAATTAATTTGTCGTAGTCCACACCAGTTATGCTGCTTGCCGCCACATCCCAGGGTGTAACTAAGTCCTCATTTTCCTCTTCCTTCTGAAAAAAAGAAATGTATTGAATCGACGTGTCTCGAATCGAGTTTTTAAGCCAAGAGAAACGTACATGATCACCATTGACCTGCATTGATTCCAGTTTCTCCTTGACTTCTGGCTCAGCAGACATGACTACAAAACCATGAAGGATAGACATTGGTCAGAGGCAGGGTCAAACCTGCTCAGACTTACAACGTTTCCGCTTACATTATAGGTTAAGATATGGACCGTTCAGAACGAAAATATGTGTGAAGACAAACACGAAAAAAGCATATCAAACTATTTATTCAAAAAAAATTGCATCCAAGGAATCATTCCTCCATCAAAAATGCACGAGTCTACAGGCTGGTCCCTTTAAGCTCCTTTGGATTCCTGCAAAAACAAAAAATAAAGAAAATTCATGAGTAGAGCAATAATAACATAAAAGCACAGCGCAATTCATGAGCAAAAGAAAGAACTGCAACATTTATCCCAGCTGATAGGTACACGGAAGTTCAAAATGAGCTTCTGAACCTAAGATAGCTTGAGCACCGCTTGAAGTTTCTTGGCTTCCTTCATGAAAGAACTAAATGGTCAGGCCAAGACAATATCTGAGATGGTGCTAGAGGCATACCCACAACAATGTGCAGCAGCAGAAGGCAGTTCATTGAAACTTTGAAGAACATATTATCACTTATTTGTCGAAGAGAAAACGAAGTATCTATTGTTGGCAAATCCAGTACTCTCAACAAGGTTTAGTCTAGCGTAAAACCACCTGCGTGAAATCTCTACCATCAAGCATTTCTCCACAGGCAAAACGTCCCCTGGCAAGGTGTTTCCATAGCCGCACAACATTACACCTTGTCAGGCAACACTTCGTAGGTCGTAAATGGATTGATAAGGAAACTGGAGCACTTCAACGCCTAACTTCCCCCACGGAGATCTACCGTATGACCGACTACAAGGAAGGCCAAAAAAGGGATTTTCCTCTACTTTTAGGACCGACTTCTTCGCCAGATACAATCTGACAATTCTGCCAGCTAATCAAAAGCACTCTACATAGCACTGCCCCTGAAAGATTTCCACCAGTGAATCGATCGAAGAAATCAGGTAGCTGCTTCAAGCTGGAAGAATTACGGCAGACTTCGTTAAACTTGATGGCCAAAGCCAATGGTATACCATTTGATCGAATGAGCTTAGGAAATGAGAGATGAGGAAACTCCGTCCATGACGTTCTTATTCCAGAGACGGTGAAGATGGTGAACAGGGGATTGGATCTGCGTATGAAGGGGTCTTTTAGAAATATGTATTTGTCATGTGTCGATCACAGAACCGTGTGAGGCAGTTTTGGTGATGTCACGTGTTTTTTCAACCATCCCTATATATTCAGACAGATGGACAAGTAAACGTAAATGAGAGAACTCTCCCTACAGAGCAAGAGCCTCTACCGGGCAACAGCACACGTAGAGTTAACTCTCAAATCGAATACCCACCTCTTTCTGAGAATATT